CCAACTATAATTGAAAAAAAAACTCATTGAATTATACAATGTAAATATGAGCAACTAATTGCCTATTATACTTCAATAAAACTGGGGGAGAAAAAAAATCCAATCATCTTTAAAAGCCATGTATTCAAGCATGAGAGTTGTAAAATAGAGAAATAGTCACAAGAGAAGTGATCAATTACATTGGAAGCACAGAAATCTAACTTGAGGATAAGCATGAGTGGTGGGAAAATATAAGAAATCCTCCGAGCTATGCGCTAAAGAAAAGCAGGGTGCAGATTTTCTTGTTCATGACGGAGGTATAATAAAGAAGCTTGCAAATTGCAACATAACGATCAAAAGACACGGCAGTTAGAAGAAAAAATTTGAGCACATGCATGAAGACGAAGAAAAATAATTGAGCTAAACAATGGTGTAGGAAATGGTTTTGACTTTAGTAATGATTGTCCCCCAAAATGAAAGTTTTAAGAGAGAAACATTTTGGAGGAAAAAATACATAGGAGAGTCTTTAAATGATTGTCTATCATGGTGAGGACAATGATGGTTATGTTTCCAGTGACACTCAGTACATGTCATATATAAAGAGAGAAACATTACAACCTAAAGCTCTGGGTTGTTTGATATTCCCAAGAGTACAAACTCTGTTGTCATTGTGTGACTTCTCATACTCATTTTTATTTTCTTTAAGCAAAATTTATTCATGAAAACAAAACAAAGAATGTGAATAGGAAAAATACTGAAGATTTAAATATTGGTATTAATAACTCCAATAAAATGAAGCAAGGAATCTTTTTCTTTGTAAGCATTTTTGCAATATCCACTCATTCCTATTAAAGCAGAAAATTTTTATACATCTTCTACTGAAAAGTAAACATGTATTATCCCGTCATCAGTTACTTTACATAAAACCTCTACATGTAACTAAATTTTCTATATGTGTAATATATCTTTTAATTATGTTTCTACAATGATATTTATCAATTATGTCTGTAATTTAGATATTGAGATATTGTTTTCCAGTTTCCAAGATCGAATGCTTTCAGAACGGAAATATCTAATTTTGAGTTTTACTTCTGATGCCATCGACAAACTTTATTGTCTTATAAATCATTGGTGGAAACAGATGACCCAATCACAATTCCTGAGCTTAATATTTTTATTTTTAATTACATTCTTTTAAATATAACCAACAGAAATAAATGGGTTTTCAGTCAAAGAAACATAGGACTAGAATTGCTTCATTGTTAACAAGAGTAAAGTTCTTATGGGAAAGAAAATAGAAGCTAGTGATATCAATACTCAGGTAGATAGAACTATATCAGTAATATAGTTCTACAACATACAGATCTATTTATATCATTTTTGTGTTCCTTATTTTTTTTAAACTTTTTAAAAATTAAGTTTATTGGGACAACATTGGTTAATACAATTATATAATTTTCAGGTGTACATTTAATTGGGCATCTGTATATTCTATTGTGTGTTTACCACCCAAAGTCCACTTTCCTAGAGCTACCATATATTTGATCCCTTTACCTACTTCGCCCTTCTCCTACTCCCATATATTTAACCCACTTTAACCATCTACCTAATTCTAATTCTCTAATTCTGTGCCTCTGTGCATTAATATTTGGATGCATGCAATGCCAGCATGGAAATCGGTCTTCACAGATACTGCAGTTTTCCAGAAAACACTCGCAAACCAATAAATGTAACAGACAACATACCATTTGTTAATGGACATAGGTGAATAAGCTGTGTAGACAATAGAAAAATATTAGAAAATGGTTAAGTCTTTAACAACTTCAAGTGTGGTTACACAAATGGACACTGTCAATGTTCATAACTTAAAGCTGGGTACCTGGTCAAAATAATGCTTGGGAAACATTTTATTAAAATTGAGCTAAATTGTCTCAAGTTCTTTTATTCATATAATAAATATTGAAAGAATGAGGGAAATTAACATTTCCTTTTTTATGTTTGTGGAATTTTTTGACACAACCTTGACAGTATCCTTCAATGGCATATGAAGTTAATTGTACTGTTAGCAAACTTTCTGTATTCTGGAACTACTTTAATAGTGAAATATTTTTAGTAAGTTGATGTTTGCAACCTATAAGCAGGTGAAATCTGTATGTGACCTATTTATAAGTTGTATTAGCTTAGTTCTTGTGAACAGTGTGGAAAAGTAAGCCATGAGGAGAGAGATTTAACCAGCTTTAAAGGACCTAAGATGTGCTTTTTAAGCACAGTGTGGATCAAAGGAGATTCACTAAGACAGGACTTCAGCAGCCTTTTGAGTATGGACAAGTCAGCATAAATAAAGAATGATGAGGCAGCAGCAAGAGCTCCAACTACAGAGAAGTGAAGGCATAAGATATTATGGTGATAGTGAGCAATTTTCCAAAAGCTAGTTAAGTCTGCTTTTTACAATAGAAATATCAAAGAAAGTCTAGCAGGAAGGAGCTCTTCACCTTTTGAAACATCAATGAGAAATAGTTGCCACAGTTACTAGGTCTGGCATTTAGACCTGCAAGGAAGGGCAATAAGCATTAGGTAGGGCTTGAATTTGAATTTTTTCACAATTAAAGAGTAAATTTTTATATATAAAAAAAGTACAAGATCTGTGGAGTAACAATAAAAAGTTTGGAGAAGGAATATGTACTTGAATATATCAAATGAGGTAAAACCCTGAAAATAACTGTCATTCTTTTTTTTTTTTACTTATTTATTAATATTCTTGCAATTAATTGAACGCTTATTCTTATCAGGCTCTGAAATAAGTTCTGCTATACAGTAATAAATACAACATGTCCTTACCTTCAGGAATCTATAATTTACTAAAATACAGATATTAATAAAAGAAACATAATTAAATGCACAATTCAAGCACTGTAAATCTGAAAAGGAAACTTAAGACACAAGGAGAACTGGACTATGTCACAAAATATGTAATAGGAAGACAAGATATAGAGATAACAGGAAGTTTTCATAAATAAGTGATTATTGAGTTCAGATTTGAAGAAAGTACATGAATTAATTAGATGAAGGGGATAGTTGTTGGAGAGGGAGATTCTAAAGAGAAGAAACAGCAAGTAATATCGTTATCACATGATTTTAAAAATGCTTTACTATCTTGAAAACAGAATGATAACTGTAATATCAGGTTTTATAATTTTGGAGGTCTCACTATTGGAGATTTTCGGTACTTAAAATCAGTAAAATGAGCTGTGGAAGTGGTGTCAAGTAGTTTTAAAATGGGGGAGCTGAGTGCTGGGCAAATCTCAGAGGAGTAGGCATGTGCTGGAAAGCATCTTATTGGGGTCCATACTTTTTACTTAAACTCAAGATCTATACACAGCTTTTTCCTTTCATATATTTTGCAATAGGGCATTTTAAGTTACTTTTTTGGAATGTCTCGTTATTCTAAACCAACAGTCAGTATTGATTTGTCTCTTGTGATATGTAGAACATATTCTTCAAGCTTAATTTGAGGAAGAACTGCTTTGAAGCTCAAGCAATAAAATAGCACACAAGTTTGGAAAAGATATTTTTTTCAGCTCTTTTTCTGAGAATTCAGTATCATTCTGGAATCCCGGAGAACTGAACATTGAGAATATCCAGAAACATTACTTCTGGATCAAGTATGGATTTCTTAATAGGTTTGGTAATAAATAACAACAGCAAAGCTTCTCTAACTGGTTCTGCAGAGCAGTGAGTGTTTTAAAATGAGAGCAAAACAATATAAGAGAGCAGATAGCCCAATATGATGGCAGTTATTCATCTGGATGCGTGTGTGTGCGCGCGTGTATGTGCGCACGCACACGCGTGCACGTGTGGGAATGCCTATCTGTGAATTATTTGTTTTGTGTTTCAGAGACAACTAAGAGACAGCTTTGGAAAGGATGAAGCTTTGCTATTACATAGGTAGTGCCTATGGAGTCTTTGATCGTTCTGCTCTTGTGAAGTTTCTCTCATCTAAGGTTATCACAGTATCTCATGTAAAATCATACACATGCACTTCTCAATAGGAGAGAGCATGCACTGATATTGTTCAGTTACAGGAAATGAATATATTTGTTCAGCTTCTATTTGCAGTTCTGTTTAGTCACTGAGTTTAAAATCACCAGGTATGTCCTTTCCAGTTGTAATTCTGTTGATAAAATTTTAGATTTTGATTATTGCTATCCTGAAAAGCTTAGGATGTGGGTAATAATTTGACTAGAATGCTAATTTGAACAAAGCACTACACTACACATTGAATAAAAGGAAAACAGGAAAATTGAGGAAAATAATCATAATTTTAAAATTCAATTAAAAATTGGTATAAAAGTGTCATTTTCATTGGCCTAGAAAAATATATATGTATTTATTCACTTATTATATTTTCATATTAATGAAAATAAGTGGATAAAAGCAAAGGAAGAATCTAGTTTTGGATAAATAATCAGGGTCCCTCACTAAATTTGCAAGTTAAATACTTAGAGTTGTGTTATAGTGTTACAGTATACATCATTCATCAGTATTTATTAACATTGATTATTGCAGATGCATGATTATTAAAATATATAAAGAGCAGAGTAATTGAAAGTGTGTTCTCTATTAGAACTTAAATTCTAACAGCCTATATCTGACACTAAAAATGTACTAGTTACTTTCTATTCATTTTTATCTTTTTCCACAAGAAAACATTTCGTTTTCCTTAGTAAAGTGGTAAGAAACACACTAACCTTAATCTTATTACCATTGTAGAAGGAAAAGCTGAATGGTGTCCAGAACACAGGAGATGCTCAGTAATTATGTTGAATGAATATTTTTGATTGAATGAATGGTAAACTACTTCATATCCTACCCTATGGTTCCCTTTTGCTTAAACACATTGAAAGTGTAGAACAGATTCAAGCGTGTTCTGGTTGCTATGCTATAGATGCTTTAATATATATTGGTAGAGCATAAAACCCTGGGTAAAATCTCTGTACAATAGTTCATTTATTATGGCTGGTTTAGGTCATTAGTCTAAGAGAGTTCCTTTGTGTTACCCTTTTAAAGGCTTCCTTTACTTCTTTGTTCCTCAAGGTGTAGATAACAGGATTCAGAGCAGGTGTGACCACTATGTACGCGAGTGCAGTTGCTTTGTCTGTTTCTGGAGTTTGTACAGTCTTAGGTTGGAGGTAAGTGAACAAGGCAGTGCCATAGAACAGAGAAACAACCAGGATGTGAGAAGAACAAGTAGAGAAAGCTTTGCGTCTGCCAGCTGCTGATGGGATTCTCAAGATGGTCACAAAAATGCGCACATAGGAGCACAGAATGAGGAAACAGGGACTCATAATGAAAAGCACAGTGACGGCAAACACCATAATCTCATTATATGAGGTATCAACACAAGCCAGTTTCACTACAGGCATGATGTCACAAAAAAAGTGCTGAATCTTTCCTGTTCCACAGAAGGGCAGAGTGAAGATCCAGGGAATCTGGACTGACTCCACCACCACCCCAGTAGTCCATGATGCTGCAGCCAGTTTCAAACACACATGAGGGCCCATCAGGAGAGTGTAATGCAGTGGATAACAAATAGCTACAAAGCGGTCATAAGCCATGGCTGCTAACAGGCAACACTCTGCCAGTCCCAATGCGGTAAATACATACATTTGAACTGCACAGCCTCCCACACTTATGGTCTTGT